TGTTCAGGTGGAATTTCATGTATTTCAGTTTCTTTCCATTGACTCTTGTTCTGTTGGTGGGCACCACTGGAAAAAGAGCCTGGCTCTGTCTTCTTTGTTCCCTCCCATCAGGTATTTCTATCCAGTGATGAATCAATCCTTCCCTCTCCTGGAGAAGAAAATAATAATTTCTCCAGACTGAACAGCTAAAGCTCTCTCAGCCTCTCCTAATAGGGATATTGAATACTCCAGTCCCTCAATCATCTTTGTGGCCCTTTGTTGCACCCTCCAGCATGTCCACATCTCTCTCATACTGGGAAGCCCAGGAAAGAAGAAATAACCCAAGAATGGCTTCTCTAATGCTGACCAGAGGGGAAAGATCACATCCCTGCACCTGCTGGCAACACTCCTGATGTGCAGCCCATCAGGTGTTTGGTCTTTGCCAACATGAGCTTTTGCTGACTCATTCTCTGCCAAGTCCTTTCCAGCTGGCTATGCCCAGCCTGTAGTAGTGCATGGAGGTTAGTCTTCCCCAGATGCAGGACTTGTTGAACTTCATGGGTTCCTGCCTGCTTCCTCACACAACCATTGAGGACACAGCCACTCTTCCCAGCCTTCCCATCATCGGAGGCCAAACTCTGTCCAAGCATCCAGATTATTAATGGAACTTCATAAGAGTTCTGGACCAGGTATGGACTTTTAGGCATCACCACTAGCTACCATCTGCCAACTAGATGTCACTTAGAATCCTCTGAGCTTGGTTGTTAATTTGATTTTTGAATTCACCTCACTGTCTGCTCATCCAGCCTGTACGTCATCAGCTTCCCTGAGACCTTTATGGAGACTGACAACTGCCGTGCTAATGTAAAAGGGAAACAAATCCACTGCTCTGTCCTCATCTACCAAGCCAGCAATTTTGTCCTAGATGGGGATCATGTTGATTATGCAATTTCCCCTTTGTAAATCCATGCTATTCTGAGTCACCTTCTTGTCCTTCATATGTGTGGAAGTAATTTTCAGGATTTTTCTCCTGTCCACTTGCCAGAGCTTGGTGTGAGGCTGACTGGTCCATAGTTCGTATTGTAGTTCATTTTATTTCTTGTCCTCAAAGATAGGAGTGATGTGACAAGAGTGGCCACACAATGACATCAGCTCTCAACATTTGTGGGTGCAACCCATGAGGCCCCATGGATATGTACAGTTTGTTTAAGTGCTACCCAACTTGGTCTTCCTCACTCCAGACTTTCCCTTTTAAATGTTCTGCTAGGATTTTGCAGGGAAAAACCTCTTTCTGTGAACTATATTCAGAGCATTCCTTCTGTATGGACCCAGGTGCTACTATGGCTGGATGCCCTCTTTCTGCTTCATGAACAATGAAACACATTGAACAATTTTGACTGTCCTGTTATTTTTTACTAATTTGGCTGGCATGGTGAGGTTCATTTGCTGAGTCTTAACTAGTTAGATGTAGAAAAATAAGTAATCTCCTTTGCTAGCTGATTCACTAGAGTGATAAATTTGCAGAGACTGGGAAAACAGATGTTTGATTCTTTCTCTGGACTAGCAGTGGAATGATTCCTGTATTGCAGTCTGAGTATGATGTTATTTTACCAGCATGGAAATATTTCAGATAGCTGCTTTTGAACAGATTATTCTGGAGTGTTCAAGGAAAGCATAGTAAATTACATTCCTTTTTTTTGTTCTTGACCAGGGTTTGAATTCAGTTATGTTCCTCTTACAATGCATTGGAGGCAGTGAAATGCTGTGCAACACAGAAGTATGTTACATCCACAAAAGTTGTGGAAACATGTCTGTTCTCAGTGTTTAGTGGGAAATTCCTGGAAGAAGTCTGTCTCTTAAATGCAGGCCCTCTGGGGCAGCCTTTGGAGTGAGGATGCTGCTGGTTTTGAATGAGGCTAGGAAGAACAAAGAAAGCATTTCTTAGTTAAGGGAAATGTGATAACTGCAGTTGCATATGTCCATTGAAAAAAATGCATGAAGTTGGTAGCTGGGGGCTCTTTGAGGTGGCCTGTGCTATTTAGAAAATCCCTCTGTGTCTTCTGTGTAACAGCTAAGTGTACCTGCTTTTTCTGGTAGATTTTGCAAACCCTTAAACAAACAAACCTCCAAACATAAAGTTTTTGGAACTAAGTCTACAGAATTATTGTCTGTAGACTTAGTTTCAAAAACTTAATCCCCTTAAGCACTTACCCATTTTCTTGCGGGCTTCTTTGTGCATGATGAACTTTGCAAAATCAGAGAGCAGGCATGGTCATCCTGAGAAAATGACTGATGTCTCTAGAAGAGGATGTCTAAGAGTATGTAATTAACTGGTTAAGGGAAAGTACATGAAGAAAGTGCAGAGCATAGCAAGAAAAACACACCAATACTCTCTGTGTAGTATAACCACAAATAAACAGTAACTCAGACTATAAAAGGCATTTTGCAGTTCTCAGGCAGTATCCTGAGATAACCCAAGTCCCAAGTCTTCTGCTCCTGGTTGCGTAAGACCTTTGCCCTCTCTCAGAGAAATCTCTGTGATAGATTTATCGTTCACAGATTAAATCAATGATTTTTTTGTTGTTTAGCAAAAATGATGCTTCACTGTGAAGAACTTATTACTTCCGTGATCTCAAGCTTAGGGGACATTTGAACAGTTAAGGAGAATTACCTTAGTGTTCCTCTATTGCTAAAGCTATTGTTTAAATTGCTGTCTGTGAAAAGACCCATAAAGGTCTACGGAAGGCTGTCAGTTTGTGTTGGTTATCATATGAGCTAAGCCTGGTGATTCCAAAATGATTGCATGAGTGGGTTTTTTGGGGTATTTGGATGGTTTAGTTTATTTGTTTGTTTCATAATTCTGGTGTTTTATGGATCCTAGAAATGTGGTTAGTACTTTAACTCCTTCTCTGTCTTATTTCTGTATTGCACAGCCAGTGTTTCACATGGCATCTTATGGGTGCATGCATGGTGGACTATCCCCCCTTTTTGGGAGCTGATCAGAAGCTCTCATAAATGTCATGGGTTGCCCCTTCCCACAGACAGCACAGGGAGACAGGACGTGGGGGTTTCGGTCAGTTAATCACTGAGATTTTCCGCTGCTCAGGGAGATGAGTCCTTCCCCTGTGAGGCCCTGGGGTCCCTCCCATGGGAGACAGTTCTCTGTGATCTTCTCTGGCGTGGGTCCAATCTCTTAAGCAGCAGCCAAACCACACCTGCTGCACTGTGAGTCCCTCCCACGGGCACACAGTCCTCCCAAAACTGCTGCAGTGTGGGTCTCTCTTTCCATGGGGTGCAGTCCTGCAAGGGCAGGCTGCTCCAGCCTGAAGCAGGGGCCTGCACTCTCCACTGGGTCTTCCACTGGATCACAGCCTCCTCCAGACATCCACCTGCTCCAGCATGAGCACCTCCCCACGGTCTGTGGGTGGATCTCTGCATCCCTCATGGATCCCTGTGGGCTGTGGGTGGATCTCTGCATCCCTCATGGAT